GTTCAACAGGAGCAGGCTGGGTACCCTGCGGAGGCCCATACTGTCGTTTGGATGATAGCGATAAAACGGGCCAAACATCCTTTCTGTACCACTTAAAGTGCATGTCTTTGCATCCCCGGGCTGGCCGCTGGTTTTCTGGACTGTTTTCTGCTCTTGTAAACAGCTCGTGTGGTTCCTGGGAGGGCTCTTTGCAGCCCAATGCTGTGAGGAAGCCAAAGCCATCGGCTGCCAAGGCTCCATAAGGAGCTGGGAACGGGCAGCAGATACCTCCGCTGCTGTAGATGTAGCCACGTTAGCACTATCATTTATCTTCCTAAGGACTTACCAAGCCACTAAAATGTATTATAAAATTAAGTGGCATTTTCTCCACCTGTTCTAACTGGTGCCAAAGGCACGGAAAGCCCTCCCATTGCACAGCTCTGCAATGCAAACCCCGTGCCCTCCCCAGGACTGCAGCTGCCGCACAGACGTGGGGCTTTTTGGTTGGTTTTTTTTTTTTTCCACGGGCTGCCTCCTTCACTTAGAATAATAAGCTTTAGATTATCTCAGGGCGCTCTGGATCCTGCTGCTGCACAATCCAATTTGACAGAAGGGTTGCGGGGCGGGGAGGGAGAAAATCCTGCAGCAGGCACCGGACTTCTGAGTCGGAGTTTTCCACCGGCACAAAGGAGGAGCTGGGGCGAGGGCTGGGAGGGTTTTAGTGCCCGGCTGTGCTGGGGGCAAGGCTCAGCCTCGGTGGACCATCCGTGCCATGGGGGCTCGGTGGACCATGGGGGTGCCTGCAAAGTCCCACTGTGGGGCTTCCAAATGCGAACGGTCCCCACGTCCCTCCCAGGTTGCAAAATAATTGAAACAGCAACAAACTGCTGAGTGGCAGCCTGTTAGTCTTGTATTAACTATATTTTATCAATTAGGCAATGCTGTATGGTTATTAACTGTTGAGCCTGCCCCCTGGCTCCAGGACATGTATTTAAACCCCCCCCGGGAAGAGAGGAAAGCTGCTTTCCAAAGGAGAATAGTGACCTGTAGCTGTGGGTGGACCCAGATAATCTCCAGTTGTCTGTTCCCATAGCCCAATTACTCTGTGATCGATGTGAGTGCTGTCCCTGCCCTTGTGATTATCGAGCCCCCTTGGGCTGTTAATGTCTATAAGTGGTTTTGCTGCTGCCGAATTTCTCTGGCTGGAGAGGGTCAGGGTCTCAGCAAAATGCCCAGACCCTGCAGACCCACTGCCTGCTGCAGCACAGCTCCTCATCAGGCTCTGTAATGATCCCCAATTCCTGATTCCCCCCATGAGTGTGGTGGCAGGAGCACAGCCTGAGGACCAGGGGCCGTGTTCAATGGGTGGCACGTCCCTTCGTTAGCTGAGATACGTGGGTCTGGCACACTGGGGGGCTCTGAACCCCCCCTGGGCTGCAGCACAGGAGGATGGCGTGTGTCTCTCGGAGCAAAGCCTGGCTCACAATGGGCTCTTTGCCCTATTTTCTAGCTTTTTGGCTGCTGTGCAGACAACTAGACCCCTCTGGAGCGGAGGAAATCTGGTGTCAAGGCAGGGTTCTTTCGAGTAATGCATGGCCCTGATGGGTATTAACCCTGGTGATTTGGGCAGGTGTATGCAAGGGATCCTGGAAACTGATCACAGATTTCCATGGTAAAGGTTCATTTTCTATGATGGCACTTTCTGAAATGCCAGAGCATCTGCAGTCTCACTGTGGTGAGGAGGTTCTTGAATGGCAGGAAAAAAACCCAACCCAATAAAGCATTTATGTTGGGTTTGGGGGGATCAAGTAATTGGCCAAAAAAATGTTTACAGAAACATTTAAGAAACGCTTGAGGCTTTGCAATTATTTCTGCACGCAAATCACTGCCTTGGTTTATCCAAATACTGCTGAGGACCAGAGCAGGTCCCGACCATAGCCCGAGTGGGGCTGACTCACCACATCTATTCATGGCCCTTCATTCATCAGAGCAGCTTTGTTTCTTCTCTTTGGGAGCGTGACTCGTGTTTCTGGCCACAGGATCAGGACTCCGTGGCATCGTGTCTTGTGTGAATGCAAACATGTCCCTGGCATGTTTGAACTCATTCTTTGCTTCCCAGATTTTCTCCGAGTTGCACCGCGGTGAGGAAATTTCCAGGGGCTTTGGTTTCCCCTTCGTTCCTGTTTCTCCTCTACGAGTGTTACCGTCCCGATCCGTCTCTTCCTCGTGCCGTAATTGGGCTGGTGCCACTGTGTAATTTTTAACTGTGTGCAGTATCGACAGACTTCCATCTGTCTCTCCTCCAGAGCTTCCCTGCCTGCCGGTATAAAGATCTGCCAAATCCTTCTCCAAAGAGAGGATCACCAGATTCCAACTGTTTGCAAAATAAGAGGTGCTGCCAGGACTCCTCTCCCCCCGCCAGCAGGACCCGTGTCCTGCACCCTGGGAGATGGTGCTGCTGGCACCAGGACCTCTGGCTGTTGCTCTCATTTATTGTCCCTCAGAAGCCCACCCTTCTGTAGAGGGTCCGGCATATCGGTCTGTTTGCTCAAATATCTCATTAGTTCTGACATTTTATTAGAAAATAACCTTCAGTAGCCATCAGGTAAAAGAAAAAAGCCAAAATAACTTGGGGGTTGGGGCTTTTTTCCCCTTAAAATGCAATTAAAACATAGAATGATAGAATTGTCTAGGTTGGAAGGGACCTTTAAGGTCATCTGGTCCAAACCATCAACCTAGCTCTGATAAAAATGGTTTGATGGGGGCATGGATCATGGGGACCATGGCTGGAAAGCCTTTTTCTGTAGATAAATAGAGGGAAGCACCTGAAGCACCGAATAAACTTGGGAGTTTGTTTCATGATGTATAGCCAGGTTCAAAAACCACCGGTATTTCCATTGTCTACATTGTGGTGTGGATTTGGTGTCCAATTTTGAAGGTTTTAGGACAATCAAGTTCACGATCTTCTAGGAGGGTGCGCCGCCACTTAATAATACATTATGACAGGAGAGAAATATGTACAAACAAGTCTAAGCCTGCAGGACAGCTATGCTTACTTACAGATGAATAATATCCCCAGCCGTTGCCGGGGGTGGCAGGGAGCAAAGAGAAAAGTGAAATTAGAGGGACCAGAGCACCCCGGGGGAGACGTGATGAGGAGGAGCTGGCTGGGGCTACGGCTGCGCGGGGACAAGATTGAGATCTAGCCCTTATTGAAGCCTGATTTTTCTGGAGCAAGATTTTCTTGTAAAGGAACAGCCAGGATTTGTGTAAAGTCTTTGGGAGAGAAAAAAAGCAGATGGCATTGATTAGCTAATTAGTAATACTTTCTGCAACTTATCAGCTGTGCTGATATGTGTGAAGTTTGCAAAAGCTTGGGATGAATCTTTCTCTCTTGGTTTGTTGAAGAAATCAACTATTTTAAAATCTGGAGGGGAGGGAAAGTTATACACAAATGTGTAATTTTCTGCCCAACAGAAATATGTTAATCTTTTCCTTTGAATTTACGTTCAGGGCTCATTTCTTCATTTGCAGCCACAGGGCATGTGCTAAGGGTTGGCCACCTCCGTGACCACTACTGTGCCAGTGGTCAGTGCTCTTTTGGCCAGAGCATCACTAAGGTGTTGGAGGCCCCTCTGACCTTGAGTTAGATTGGACACAAATTAAATATCTTGATGTTGTCTCTATGATGGTGGTAGTTCATCATTTAGGGCAAGACAGAGTACCTCGCCAAGATGTTAATGTAGAGAAGATTGTCTGAGTGAGGGTGTCAGTCCTTCAGACCCTGCTCGTTCCCGAGCAAAGTCTTCATATAGTCAAAAACATGAGATTCATGCAATTTCCTCAGCCAGGTGGATGCAGACAGGCTCGTGGGCAGACACCGGTCCTGGTAGTCACAGTGGTCTTTGTGGGAATGAGCGTGGGTGGACACGGCTTTGGGTTCCCAACAAGCCCCGTAATTAGGACTTGCTGCAAATTCTCCAGAGGCTTGAGATCTGCACCAGCACCACCCCAAAGCCTTTCATGCAATGAGGTCCCGGTGTAGAAACTGTACTTTAATTGCCAGTGTGGAGCACGGGTGACGCACGAGCTGTCATCTGGCCACCTGTGACAGCAGGGAATGAGAAAGAGCTTTGTTTTCCTCTGCTGGGGATGTGTCCTCCCTCGCAGATGCTCTGCAAAAGGGCTTTGTGGTGCTTATCTCCTGTGTAAGGCTTCGAAATAGGGCATGAGGCCGTTTGAGGTGGGGCCCAGGCGTTGTCCTGGTCAACTGTCTGGGTTGTGCTCCATCCAAACGCCATCAGGACTGGAAATTGCCTGAAGTGGGACCAAGATTTGCTCCTTCATTACCTAGGGCTTTCTATTTTTCGTGGAGTTTGGTGTTGAAGCTTTAGCCTTTCTATTTCCATCAGAATGACATTTTTTATTGGTTCTTAAACTGAAGAAACAACAAATTCTGCATCCTCTCTGGAGCACGGTCTTGTTAGTGTTCTTTGAAACATGACATGTGTCGTGGCCGTCAAACTGCAATGATCCCATTTTTTCTGAAATGAGAAAAACATGTCACTTTTGGCTCTAAGTAATACAAAGGGAGAGTCATACTTTAGAGAGGAGCTGCATGGCTGCCACAGATGAAAGAAAAATGTTATTACTTTTGGAAATTTCATAATTACAGTTAATGATAATTTAATGAAATGACATTGTCTTCACCGCTATCACTAATGAAATGTTTGAGAGTGATAAAACAGGTCTTGTTAAATAGAGCGAGAGTCTTAGAGTGGAAGAGCTTTGTGACAGCAGCCTGTGTGCACAAGTCTCAAATTCCTATTTTTTTTTGTTACAGTGGTTTAAAAAAAAAGTTAAAATGAAGGTTACCTGGCAAATAAGGCACACATGAAGTATGTAAAGGCCTGCCATTAAGCAAACAATACTGAACTCGTGAATAACAGGCTGATGACTGAGTACTGCTCTTTAGAAATGCTAACCCTTCATTAAAATGCTTTCCGTGTTTTTCTTTGCAGACAAACCAGGGAACAAGAAACCCCGCCTGACTTTTTTTATTTCTCAGACTATGAAAGACATAATGCAGAAATAGCAGCATTTCATTTGGACAGGCAAGTAAAATGGATTTGCAGTAAAAGAAAAGTGGAAATATTGTGATAAGTTTCTGCACTTGGCCAGCCCTGCAAATGAATTACTTCTAAAAACGGGGAAAATGGAACAAAGGTGGGCAAACGCCATGAATAAATGGAATGGCAGATGATGAAAGGGTAGATTAATAATTAGGAAATGCAACTCGCTCTGGGAATGAGAAACCTGGCAATAAGTAATTCTCAAAAAGAAAGAGAAATGCTATTGAAGAGAAGCTGAGAAATGAATGTCCCCTGTGGTCCCGAAGGGCATGTGGAGAGGGCCCGTCTCCCGGGGAACATGTCACAGAAGTGTGACAGGTCTCTGGCTCACCCCAATCAGCTCAAGGATGTGGGGAATTACATGGGATTACATGGGATGTGGGGAATGGTGTGAGCATTTGTGGGGGGAGTCACCGAGGTGGGGAGGGAGTTATGGGGTCGTCCCATCTCAGGAACGTCTTTAGGCCACAAGGCCGTGGGAAGGGGAGGGATGTGGTGGCCATTCCCTGCTCCTCTGAGCTGAAGACATCCCCCAGGATATGGTGGACAGTCCAACACTAGGAAGGGATTGCAGCCCTCCCAGCCTGCCCAGATTAGGAGCTGGAATTAGTAATTAGTGATGAATTAGTATGGCTGGAAACCGTGGCATTTCAGTGGCTGAGTAAGAACTGAAGCGTCTTTCACACCCTGAAGTGCCGAGAAACAGCTTTTCAAAAGCTTGAAGCTTTGGGGCCACAGGTGATTTGGGGGTTCGTGTGGTCTTGCTACCTTCAGGGTTGGCGTTGGGATGAGGGTACATACCAGTGGGGACACAAGGTAGATTGGCCATCAAGAGCCACCCTGGTCAGATCCTTCAAGGATCTTCTATATTTTATTGGTGTTGACCTTGGCGTTGATTCCTTCTGCTTTATATTTTATATTGCCATTTTAAGCAGATGGTGCTGTAGGAAAAACCATTAATGGAGTTCCTGCAGGGAGATTTGTTAAATAACCACACACTAAGCAGAAAAAGCAGTTGCTACCCAACACAGAAAAGCTTATCAGCAGACAGCGGACATAAAAACTCTACCTATGGGGAGGCTTTCTGTGGGGACTTTGCTCTTTTGCTGTATCTAACAGCGATGCTTTGTAGGGAGCTTTTAATGATCTACTAAGGTGGGGGTTTAGGGTAGAGAAAGGCTCTTCACCCAGCATTTGCCTGTGGGAAAATCTGTAGTCTGAGGGAGATTGTTTAGGTTGCTGTAAGGGTATTAAATCAGAGAGGAGCAGGGGCAAATAAATCAAACAAATGCTAAGACTGTCAGGAAAAAAAAATATAAATTACTGTTAGACGGTGTTTCTGGAAGACAGAGGCTGAAATCCCATTCCTCAAGTCACTTAAAAAACTGGTGAGTAAAATGCAGGTTATTACAATCCTGAGGTAGCACAAACTCAAAACCAAGTTTCTATTGTCTCTTATTTCTGGAATTCTACAGATCCTCATTGTTTCCTGGAACAGTGTGTGTGTCTCCATACCCCTGTATTTTGCATCCGCTCCATAGTACGTGGGCAAGTCAGAGCTGATCATATTCAGAGCATATTTTGTAATATATTATATGAGGGATTATCCAGTTTAAAGTTGATGGGCTTTTTGCTCCTTAAAGACCACAGATAAATGTGCCTTCAGAGTGTAATGAACCTTCCTAAAACCTACTGCTATCGTTCCATTTTAATCCTTTACCTAACCTATCTCTTTGCTCTCTCTTGCAGGATCCTGGATTTCCGCCGCGTGCCGCCGGTTGCCGGCAGGCTGGTTAACATGACGAGAGAGATCCGGGACGTCACCCGGGACAAGAAACTCTGGAGAACGTTTTTCATCTCACCAGGTAGCCTTGGAAATCACACTATATTCTTTTCTATGCCGCCGAACACGTACTTAAGGGAACAATGTGTAGATTGCTTAATTGCTCAGGTATTTCTAACAGAACTGTCTTCTAAACCTTTGAATAAAAATAAATGTGGAGACACAGCCTGCAAAAAAGACTTTATTGTTTTGAATGAGTGCCTTTTCCCCTTGACAAATTATCCGCAGAGACAGGCTTTTATGTTCACAAAACCAATGTATTCAACAAATGTTTTATGTAGAGCAATTTCTAAAGCAATTTCTTCTGTTGCTCTCAGTTTACCCAAAACCTTATTACTTACCCCATTAGTTATTTAGACTTTTTCTCCTGCTGCGATGTGATCCGTCACTTCTGTTGGTCAGACACGGTCATTTCTCAGGTTTGACTGGGGGACCAAAACCTAATTTTCACAGAGTCGTGAACCTCAGGTTTTGTTACAACAGGAGTTTGAAAAAAAATGAAGCAAATAGAGGTGTAACATACCCTGCTTCCAGCTCAAATTCTCCACCGGGCAGAGGCCAGAGCAGAAGGGACCTCAATTGTCCCCGGTCCTGGTCTTGCTTTGAGGGCTGACCCCAGGAGCCACCACTCTCCCACAGGAGTTTGAAAAAAAATGAAGCAAATAGAGGTGTAACATACCCTGCTTCCAGCTCAAATTCTCCACCGGGCAGAGGCCAGAGCAGAAGGGACCTCAATTGTCCCCAGTCCTGGTCTTGCTTTGAGGGCTGACCCCAGGAGCCCACACCACTCTCTGTTTCTGTTACTCTTCCCTCTTTCACAATGTCTGGTGGCTCCAGCCCAAGGATGGAGCTCCACAGGGTGGGAATTTTAGAAACACAGGGTAAACCCGTGCCCTGCTCACCAGAACATACATCTAGAACTGGTGAAGGTGTGTGTAGGATGGAGCTCCTCAGGGTGGGAATTTTAGAAACACAGGGTAAACCCGTGCCCTGCTCACCAGAACATACATCTGGAACTGGTGAAGGTGAGCAAAGGGTGGGAGAAAGAGGTGTCATCTCTGCTTAGCATCTGGGATGCTGAGGTGGAGAAATTAAGGCTCCAAGTTAAGGCACAAAAGTACAGGCTTAAGTATCTTCTTAAGGGAAAGAATATATAGGGAAACGTTCAACGTAAAGTTCTATGTTCCAGTGAGTTTAACTCATATTATTTCAGCTGCCCACAAACACGCGTTGCTGAGCCCGGGCTGTTGTGTGTTGGACAGGGAATGTGGAGCAGGAATCTCCAGGGAGCTCCTTGCCCTTGCTCCCTGTGCCATTGCCCAGGAGCTGTTCATCCCCCATCCCTAAAGTCAAGATCCAAAGACGTAATTACCATTTCTCCCAGTGTAACTGTCATTTATTGCTGTTGGCCAGAAAGCAGGGCCCTGTCATTGCAGAGCTTTCTCTCTTACAGCGCTTATCACACTTCTGTGATCACCAATAAAGTCATTATTATGGCTGTTATTTTTAGCTTCGTATTTATGTTCAGCTCTGCAGGACACACAGTTGAGCAGACAGTTGTTAATTGCAGTTGTACAACACAGGACACAATTACCAGAGGTTTCCCCTTACACCCCGTGTGATGAGGGCTCTGCTTTTACACGGACGGTCGTGGGGACAGTGGGGACAGTCCTGGGTGAGCGTGTTCCCCAAACCTGATGTGCCAGCACTCCGCTGGTGCCTCTGTCACTTTTTCTCCCTCTTTGTCTCTCTCACTTGATTTTTTTGTAGGCAAACAAGCACACACAAAAGGTGGCAAAACCACCTTGTGCCCGTTTACGTGCGCAGGGCACTTGGGCTCATTTGAAATCCAAGCCATTTGACTCCCGTTTTAGCAAGTAAGAGAGGGATTAGGAGGTTTGGCTGCTTTTTAGCCTCCCCGGGTTGTGTGCCAGGGCTGAGGGGTGAACTCCAGTGATTTCTGTGAATCACAGAGCTGGACCGAGCAGCAGAGCACAGCCGTGCAGAGTGGAGGCTCTTGGTTCAGATGAAGATCTTTATCTGGTCATTATGAAATTCCAGACATCCAAGGGATGATCCAAGCATAATACTTTATTCAAATTTATTTAGAGGCCTCAGATAAATTCAATTAAAATATTTGATTAACTATGAATCAGTCTTTCCTGGAGAATAAAACGCTTAAGCAATTAATTTTTCTTTCAATTTTACATTTCCTAAATCAATATAGTTTGCTTAAAACATGTTGGTTACTTGTCAGAGTTCTTCCCTGCAAGTCCCCAGTTTAATTAGCTGGATTCTCATTAACATATGCCCAACCTCCGCCTTGGATTTCATACTGACCTTAAGAGGCAGGCATTAATTAATGCTTAATGAAAAAGTAATAAAGGTCCTAAATTAGGCATTTGGAAAGGAATCCACAAGCCTGGCAGGCAGCAGAAGTGGCGGATTGAGGGCAGGAGAGGGAAAAGCTGAGGGTGTGGAGCCTGGGGAGGGACTGGGAGCCCGGGGGGGGCCAGCAGGGGCTGACTTGTCCCCTGAGGGGCAACAAAGTGACTTGGTTTTGGGGGAGAACGGGCAAATTGAGGTTTGCCGTAGGGATACCTGCACCCGCATTAAGCTGTTGAGGCTCCTCAGGTGCCTTTGGGGTGGCTTTGTCTCTGCATCTCCATCCCAGCAGAGCCCAGGGACAAGGGGCACGGGGACACACTGTGTCTGCGGGTGGTGTGTCCCTCTCCACGCACCCATGGGCATCTCTGGAAATTAAAGCAAGCGCTAAATGTTACTGATCTTGTACAAAGCTCTTCCCCTCGGGCTGGGAGACCACTGTTTGCAGTGGAAGCCCCTTCAGAGGGTAGATGTTGATGACACTCATCAATGCACCGTGTTATTCCCTGGACCGGTGCAGGTGAGAAGAAACCTCACTGCACCTCCACGCCTGGGCCATCGCACTTGTTCCCTGGAAATCAGGGCTTCTTTTCACCAGGGCATGGAGTAACAGGGCAAGGGGTAATGGCTTCAAACTGGAAGAGGGGAGACTTAGACGAGATCTCGGGAAGAACTTTGGTGTGAGGGTGGTGAGAGCCTGGCCCAGGTTGCCCAGAGAAGCTGTGGCTGCCCCATCCCTGGAGGGGTTCAAGGGCAGGTTGGAGGGGGCTTGGAGCAACCTGGTCTGGTAGGAGGTGTCCCTGCCCAGGGCAGGGGGTGGCACTGGGGGGGCTTTAAGGTCCCTTCCAGCCCAAACCATTCTGTGATTCGATGATTCTATGATTGTCACTGCCAGGAAGCTTCAGGCAGATGCAGGTCCAGAGCAGGCTGCAGTCCCTTCTCCGTTGGGAAGGGGAGATGGCTGCAGGCACAGGTCTGCCCGTGCATTACCCTGCCTTCAGAGGGAAAGCAGATTGCAGAAAAGTGCACTTCCAGGCAGTTTGGACTAAACATGAGAAATGGAATTAGGTCAGTAATTATTTAAATTAATTTTATATCCTTTGCAGTAGGGCAGACTGCAGTAGCCCCGCTACTCTTACAAATGAATGGTAATTTGCTAGGAAAAAAGAGACATATTAATGATGTCAGCCTTCGTTTTGGAAATAATTGAGGCAGCAGCTTAAAGAAATCGATGTTACACAGCTAGTAAGCATTATGTTTTTGTTCATATTAACCAGTTCCAGGGGATTATGGATTTTTTTTTTCCCCTCTCAGCAAACAATAGCAATTCTGAATTAGCTATTATTTTGAGCAGGTAAAAGAAAGATCTTTTCATGCATTGCTTTAGCAAATATTCAGGATTCTTTCCAGTTCTCCAGTTGCACAGGCTTGTTAAATGTCCTCTATTACCAGTCATGCAAAGCTCAATAAAAGAACTGCTCTGCCAAGCAATTCGCTCGAAGGTATCTCCACGTCTTCCTTTTCTTCCCGAGAAGAATTATTGTTTGGCTCTGGGGATGACGCACAGGAAATGTGCAGATGAGGTTCTTAATTGTTGTAATTGGAGTTTCGATCACCAGACCATGATTTTTTTTGCGTGGATTTCATTATGGATGGTGTCCTTTCAGCCTCAGATAATGAAAATCAGACCTTTGCGACATGGCCCGGGATTCTCTGGCCTCTAGTGCTTTGGGGAAACAGTTTGGATTTCTAATGAGGGAGGAGCTTCCCTGTTGCAGATGCTCAGGGTTTGGACATTTCACATGTACCAACACCCCTCCCCTCCTGGTTTGGCAGCTGCTTGTCCCGTGCCCATCCGACACTTCAGGGATGGGGTCTGTGCAGAAGCACCTCTGAGAGGAGCCCGTGGGCCGGGCAGTTTCAGTGGGAGGAGAAGGACCACGGTCCAGTGAGACCTCACCTCCCCTTTCCCTCTGGATTCTGCCCTCGGGAGCCAAACCCTGCTCTCACCCGGGATCGTGGTGAAGCACTGGGCTCTGGCTGGAAATCCCCCCCAGCCCGCTCTGCAGAATGTGGGTCACCTACTTAGGCTCCAAAGAGGCTTTGCTGCCGCACCTTGAAGTCTTAAATGAGAAACTGTGTTTTTTTCTATACTTGGTACCTCTTTTTTTTTTTTTTTTTTTTTTTTTGCATCTTTACAAAACCTTAAAATTGAATGTTTCCCCAGAGAATTCAGGCTGCTTCGTACCTCGTCTCACTTCTGCCTAAGAACCAGGGTAGGCATACCAGGGTGTCTGTTCCCTATCAATCAAAGCAGCTGATTTCTTTAATTGTCCCATGGGATACAGCATCCTTTCACCTCCGCTACCCCAGCAATCCGACAGGAGCCCTGCAGATAAAGTACCACAGAAAAAGCTTTGCTGTTGAAAGTCACTTTTCCCCGAGAAGCACACTGGTGGGGTTTGTGTTTGCTGTCTGAACACCAGGAGCCATCCTACCGTCATGGGGAGGATGGGCTACCATGGCAGGTCATGGGGCTTGGTGGGGAAATGGTGAGTGGGAGGAATGGGGCGAGTGGCTGGTGAGTGTCAGAGAGCTCACGGGCTGGCCCTGTGCCCCAGCAGCAGCAAATGCCACCGCTGCCACCACCCCTGGGCTTCCCTGCAGGATCATCTGGGCACCAGCCTGTGATTAGGGCAACAAAGATGATTAAGGGATTGGAGCATCTCCCTGATGAGGAAAGGCTGAGAGAGCTGGGGCTCTTTAGCCTGGAAGAGAGAAGGCTGAGGGGAGACCTTATTAATGCTTCCAAGTACCTAAAGGGTGGGTTGAAGGAGGATGGAGCCGGACTCTTTCCAGTGGTTCCCAGTGACAGGACGAGGGGCAACGGGCACAAACTGGACCATGGGAAGTTCCACTCCAATGTGAGGAAGAACTTGTTTGGGGTGAGGGTGGCAGAGCCCTGGCAGAGGCTGCCCAGGGAGGGTGTGGAGTCCCCTTCTCTGGAGATCTTCAAGCCCCACCTGGATGCTCCTGAGTGATGTGCTCTGGGCAGCCCTGCTTTGGCTTTCTCCTGATCCTGCCCAAAGGGAGAGGAGCTTGGGAGCAGGGTTTGAATTTGGAGGCCTTGTGGGGAACTGAGGAGCAATGTGACTTCTCGGCTTCGTGCATTACTGTGAGGAAAGGGCAGAGTCTTCCTCTAATGACATTTTATGTGCGTAAAGCAATGTCAGAAGAGTTGTAGCACAGTGAGAAGACGAGCTTTGTGCTCCTGTTCATAGCCCAGTGTTGGAGGGGACTGGGATGAGCTGCCCTCTCCCACCTCCAGGGAATCCGCCTGGGAAGGGGCTGCTGGTGAGGAGGTGGGTGTTCCTCTTGGTACAGAAATTCATGGTGGCAGCTTTGGGAGGTTTGAAGGTAGGAGACGCTCCAAAACCACCTGAGGGTTCTTTTTCTGTAGCTGTTGGAGTAACGTGGTGTGTGGAGGAAGAGATTTGTGCTTGGGCTGTGTGCTGACAGGGTTCCATCTGCACCATTTCCACCTTCCACACACCCCCACGTCAGTCTTCATGGTAAATAGTTCTCCTTAGGAAAACTGCCAGTTCCTCTCCTACCAGCAAGTAAATGAATGAAATGTTGTTGTCTGTTCTTAAAGAAAAGAGCCAAGATTTTCAAAGGTGCCTTAATTTGGGGCACGGGGCACTTGTTCAGCTGTGGGATTTGGGGTTCCAGCCTGGGGCAACAAATAGATCCCAAAGGGTGTACCTGCCTGGCAAAATGAAAGGAGAAGGAAAAGGATAAAACAAACAAAAAAAAAATTGGTTTTTTTTTTTCTGGAATAAAAACAGACTGGAAATGGTCACAGAGAGCTCAGCACAGGGTGTGATCCCAGCCACCAAAATGTGCGTATTTCTGGTGGTTTCAGTGGAAGAAAACTCTGTGGTGCTGGGTTTGGGGTCTGAGATTTATTCCTGCTCATACATCAATCGGTGCTTTTCTGAATTCTTGAACAGCAATTTAAGGGTAGGTTGTAAAACTCTTTTCCTTTATTTTCCAGCCAACAACATCTGTTTCTATGGGGAATGCTCCTACTACTGCTCCACGGAGCACGCCCTGTGTGGGAAGCCGGACCAGATCGAGGGCTCTCTGGCCGCTTTCCTGCCCGATTTGTCTTTAGCTAAAAGGAAAACCTGGAGAAACCCCTGGAGACGCTCCTACCACAAGCGCAAGAAAGCAGAGTGAGTAGTGGGGACCAAAGGACAATAAAAATATAACAATTCTGCAGTTACTGCCCTGGCCCGATGTAAAGCATTGAGGGTCAGGAGAGCATCTGCCTGTCTTCAGTGGGTCCAGTCCTGGGAAGGGACTCACTCACACTTGTGAGGAGCTCCTCACATGGTCCTGAGCCTGGAAGGGCCTTCAGTGGTGTAATTCCCTGGTGGGACAGGAACCTCCAGTGGCTTTGGAGGATGCAAAGGGACCTGAGTCCTGTCAGAGGGAGAGAGATTCCCTGCCCCCAGCCACCCCCAGCAAGTCTCAGGTGTTTTCATGGTAGGACCGATGGTGCAGCTGGTCTCCTGAACCCTGAAGCTCTTAGCCAGAGAGTTCTCACTCTTGTCGTTGGCTTCCTTTTTCATCAGTCATGACCTGTATCAGTTGCCTGTGTTGCTGGAAGAATTTGCTGCCTCTACCTGATCCTGCCCTCAATCAAACATGATACAACTAGATCTTTGCAAAATAACATTATTATTTTCTTTTTAATACTCAGTAAGCTCTGTATGTCACATAAAATATCAAAATATTTTTTTTTCCAGATGGGAAGTTGATCCAGATTACTGTGAAGAGGTTAAACAAACACCTCCGTATGACAGTGGGACCAGAATTCTGGATATAATGGATATGACAGTTTTTGATTTCCTAATGGGTATGTTTCATCTTTTTCAAAAATTAAATGCAACATTTAATTAGAATAAGAACCGTTTCTTTCCACCCCGCTCTGCACAGCTCAGCAGTTTGCGGAAGCGTGGCTGGAGCTGCATTTTCTGTGTGTGCAGTTCTGGATGGTGATGAGAAAAATGCAGATTCCTGGGGTTGTGTGTTCCCATCAGCACAGAGGAAAGGAGCAGAGACGCTGAGAAACAGAGCGGAGATGGATGGGGTCAGGCTGGTCCTTCACAGCAGCCAAGGGCTTCACGGTTTGCTTTAGTGAGTGCTTCCCCAGGAGTGAACAGGGCAGGGACCTTCATTACCCCACACGCCGTAGTATTCCCTGCTGCTTCCTCTGTAAACTGTCCAAAAGAGGTGCTGCTTGGTCCCAAAGGCCACGGTTCTCTCTATCAGGAAGGTTTTTCTGTCTACGTAGCCTGTTTGGAGTAAAATAATGATTATCAGGCAGGTAATAGTGACCAATTCCAAGCCAACTCAGTGGTTACCACTGAGACAGCCTTGTGTGAAGCTGTTCTGCTGCAGCTGGGAAGGTTCATTCAGTGCTTTTTTTTCTCTTTACTCCCCAGGTAACATGGATCGACATCACTACGAAACCTTTGAGAAGTTCGGAAATGAAACATTTATTATCCACTTAGATAACGGAAGAGGGTAAATACCTTTAATAACCTTTCAGGGGGTGGGGGGGAAGAAAAAAGTTAGCCTTTCAAACAGCCTTTGTCATATTCTTGCTTTTATCTTTTAACAGGTTTGGAAAATATTCCCATGATGAACTTTCCATATTGGTGCCTTTAAACCAGTGCTGCAGGTTTGTTTCTGGAGTTGTTTCCCATTTTATACGGCTGTTTCCACTAACAAGAGTGGGGTGTTCCAGTGACTCTTTCACTGCACAGTGGGGGAGGAGGAGATGCTGGGGTCCTGGCCACTGAGCCCAACCTGAGCGAGCCCCCAGTGCTGGCACTGCCACGTCGGTGCCTTGTTGGGACCAGGACCCTGCAGGAACGTGGCCAGGAGCTGCTGTGGGAGAGGCTTTAGTAGGACAACATAAATGTCACACTGAAATCAAGTGGAAAACTGTCCCCAGCCCCTTCGAGTGCTTCACGAGGGCTTTCCAGGGTGCCCACAGTCAGGATTTTCGAAGGTGTCCAAGGCCAGGTTGGAGGGGGCTTGGAGCAACCTGGTGTGGTGGGAGGGGTCCCTGCCCGGGGCAGGGGGGGGCACTGGATGATCTTTAAGGGCCCTTCCAACCCAAACCAGTCTGTGATTCTGTGACATTTAGAGGGTCAGCTTTGCACAGCTGGGACCCAGGGCCAGCTCTGTGTCTGTGGAGGCTCTGGGCATCCCAGCCAGCAGATCTCCAGAGGTCCCTTCCAACCCAAACCAGTCTGTGATTCTGTGACATTTAGAGGGTCAGCTTTGCACAGCTGGGACCCAGGGCCAGCTCTGTGTCTGTGGAGGCTCTGGGCATCCCAGCCAGCAGATCTCCAGAGGTCCCTTCCAACCCAAACCAGTCTGTGATTCTGTGACATTTAGAGGGTCAGCTTTGCACAGCTGGGACCCAGGGCCAGCTCTGTGTCTGTGGAGGCTCTGGGCATCCCAGCCAGCAGATCTCCAGAGGTCCCTTCCAACCCAAACCAGTCTGTGATTCTGTGACATTTAGAGGTTCAGCTTTGCACAGCTGGGACCCAGGGCCAGCTCTGTGTCTGTGGAGGCTCTGGGCATCCCAGCCAGCAGATCTCCAGAGGTCCCTTCCAACCCCATACCATTCTGTGATTCTGTTTTCACAGTTACCCCTCTGCTGACGACAAGCCTTTTAGCCCTGACAAGACCAATATTGACGAAAATACTGATTTGCCTGTTTGTTTTTTTCTCCTAGAATAAGGAAGTCCACCTATCTGCGATTACAGCTGTTAGCCAAGGAGGAATACAAGCTCAGTCTCTTGATGAAGGAATCTTTACTCAAAGATAAAATCGCTCCCGTTCTCTATGAGCCTCACCTGGAGGCGATGGACCGGCGGCTGCGGATTGTCCTCAAGGCTGTTAGTGACTGCATAGAGAAGGATGGTTATGACAATGTGGTGGAAAATGACTTTAACGCTGATGTTAACACTGTTGCGACCGAGAGGTAGTGAAATGGCAGGACTACGTTTTTACCAGCCGAGTAACGAAGATTCAAAAAGGAAAAAAAAAAAAAAAACGTAAAAAAAAAAAAAAGTCTTGCAAAAGACTGTATATGCCACTTTGTGAATTCAGTGAATTCAGAAATGAGATATAATTGTTCCCAAAGTAGGTAAAGTGTAGACTCTGCAAAGGCTTAGTTCATTAAGAAAAATAATGTGATGCTTTTCCTTAGTTCCTAAAGAGAGATTATGAAGAGTTTCAGATCACGGACAGACACCAGTCCTGCAGCCAAACACCTCCTGTCCTTTTTGTATAGAAGGGAGGCCTTTACTTAATATTTTGTATTTATATATGGTATATCTATGAAACCCCAGACCTACCTACCAAATTTAACTAAGAGGGACGGCATAGTTCTGTGACTCACACTTTATTTGTGGTGACGGTCCACTTAGTACTTTGTGTTAACCCTTTAAGTGCTCTAATCCACTGTATCTTATTTAAATTGAATGCTTTTTTCCCCCCCTCCCAGCTACTCAGCATTTAAAGGGTTAAGGCATTATGAACTTTTAAAGGCAAAAAATAATAATTATTATAATAATAAACAGTGGTTACCGGAAGGGAATGTCACTAATTGTGCATTGACAGGAATACTTGAATGTTGGTTTTACAAAGTGATGTAAAATGACAAGTTGTACTATTTGTCCATAAGGAGGTGGCAGCTCTTATCTTTCTAGACTATCATAGCCGAGCTGCTGCTTCTCAACTTTGCTTTTGATAGTTTTGTGTAAATATATACATATATGGGTAAAAAAGCTGCTTTCGGCAGCTCTAGGCTTACTTTTGCAGCATTTTTGTGGAATTGTTTGCGACGTGGTAAAAGTGCAATAAAGATATGGCAAAACGTGTAGCCGCCGCGTCCGAATGGATTCATTTTTCCCTGGAAATGTGGTTCAGAGCCAAGGTGGGAGCAGCAGCCACCAGTTCCAGAAGTAGCTGTTTGAATTGTCACCCCCTCCTGTACCCAGAGCCGGTCGAGCCGGGGCAGGGAGTTGGTGATTAATGCACTGGCAGCTCCGGTGAGGACCGTGGGGTTGGAAATGGCTCATTTTTCATACAAAAGCACTGGTTTGAATGTCATTTCAGCATCTTCCTCTCCCAATTAGCGCTGTAGAGAAACACCTCGAAAAGATGATGCCGTGACACACCGCCCAGAGGATTTAGGGACATCAGTTCCCTGGATTTGGGAGGCAAAAGCCCTTGCACAGCCCAGAAAATCCCAGCCTAAATTCTCTAGAAATGTGGTTTCCTTCACCAAATAGCACTGAATCATGTTCAGCTGAGTTCATGTAATGTGTGTGGAGACTTGCAGCCCAAAAGCAAGCTATAAATTGAACAAGCGGCTGGTTTTGACTGGTGAAAACACAGTGTGGTCCAGAAGGAATCCCTCACCACTCTTCTGGGCGAGCAGAGAATTTATTATCACAATATTCATCACAACTATAATTCAAGTCTGTCATTTGCTTCATTTTATGTCTTTCGTCTCAGGGATTTATAAACATATATATACTTGAAAAGCTTGTAGCCAGATAGACTAAATGTAGGCATTTCAGCAGATTGGAATTATGAATGAGAGAAAGAGCTGCTTTATGAAGTCTCATTCGCTTCTGAGGTTGATGCATTATCACTGAAAAACATATGTCTTTTACTATTTCACTGCCCATTTCAAATTCCCGTAGCTCTAACAGCCGTGATGTGCAAAGACATCAGAACATCTCGGATTAGACAAGTGTCCATGAACTTGAAAAATTTCTGGGTTGCCCCATGGCTTTTTTTGAAATTCCCCTCTCCGAGACGCACCGGTGGCCGTGAGGATGCTCTCTCTAACACAGCACTCACACGGCAGCTCTCTCTGTCAGCCAAAAACCTCAGGACTTGGTGAAATGGATGACATTATCCTTGCTTTATCCTTAATGCCTGGCTGTGGTTTTCCTGCAGGTGCAGCCTTTTCTCATGATGAGGTTGTGCCAGGAGAGCAGGCGGGGGCTATTAAATCACTGCCCCGGCTCTGCTCTTGGTGGAGTAAGGGCAGCCCAGGGCTTTGTCCTGGAGGAGCTGTGGGTCAGGAGCTTCTGGCAGGGTGAGTCAAACTGGAGGTTTCTGTGGGGGCTGCCGGGGCATAAACTCACTCTTATGAACCTGATTCTGAATGTCTGTATGCAGGATTAGTAGTGTTTCTGGAGAATAATTAACCAGAGGTCACTCATCCTTGCCATCTGTAAGGTCTCTGTTTTTTCTCCTTTCCTGAGCTTTGATGCCCCCCTCACAAGCTCTGTGCTACTGCTCTCTACACCTAAAAATTCTCGTCCCCTGTCCTCAATTAGGCACACAGAAGAACTGAAGGGAAGGCTTTTCTTTGGGATGAGACATGCCAGCATCTTGGAAGAAGGGAGCTAAGAGGTGGGAGAGGTTTCCTTTCTGCTGGTCTCTGGTGAGAAACTGGGGTGAATTGACCCCACCTGAGCTGCAGGACCCTAAAGTGCTGAGGCAGGGGATGGCAAGAGCTGAGTCCAGGCCCTTCGTGAGGGCACGGGGCTGATCTGGGGGTTATTTGAAGAAGTGGAAGGGCTGATTAATTCCAGAGGCTGTGGAGCTGCTGCTGGGTGTCTCCCAGGAAGCTCCGGTGTGTTTGTGTTCCCACTGCCAGGTGGGTAGAGCTTTGACTCATGTTAATTTCCTGCAGGTTTGGGAAGGGAAAGGAATTCTTGTCTTGTTCTGGTGGTTCATTTCTCCGTGGGCAGGGGTGTGTGGGCACGACTGATGGGAAGGGAGCTCTGGGGGGGCTCTGCCTTTCAGCTCCTGGGCTAAGGCAGCCTTGAGGATGGCTCCTACAGCCTGGGGCGGGGGGAAACCTGCACTTTTGGGGTAAATCTGCACCTTTTTAGGGAAAGGGTGTTGCTCTCCTGGGGTGAAATCCATCCTTCTGCAGCCACCAAGGGCTTGCCTGGCCATCTTGGCAGCGGGGACGACTTGAGGGTGGCTTTGCCTGTTCTGGGGGGCCGTGGTGGGGAGGAGAGGGTGGGTTTGGGGGGCAGAGGTCCTGTTCTTTGTCACACACGTGTGACAGCAGATCCCCGTGGTGTGAGGCGGTGGCTCTGGAGGGGCTGTGTCTGCACATCGGGTCAGTAATTCCTGCGATGAGGAGGATTAGTGTGGCAGGGTGGAACAGCTCCCCAGGAGCCCTACCTACCGCACAGACAAACGGATTCGCTCTAAGAAGGTAAATAAACAGCAGAATCCAATTGGGTTTTATCTCCCAATCTCAAAAAGAGGTGGAGCAGCAGCACGCAGGGAAAAACATACCAAGAAATCGGTGTAGTCTATTGGGGCATAACGTGTTCAGCACAATAAATATAGTATGCACAATAAATAACAGATAAAAATAGATAGTACACTTCTAAAATCACCTAATTACATCTGTATCTGACACCCTAGAATAGCTCACTCTATTCTCCAGAGTAATTCAGGTGAGAGCCTCATTTTGGTTTGCTGTTTTTTCTGTTATTTAAGCATCAAAGAGAATTCGCACAAATTAAAAAAAAAAAAAGCTCTCAGTGTTTGCACTGGGTACCAGTGCTGGGGTCAGCAGGGCCCCTGCTGGAGGTCCAAGCCCGGAGGAAGTCACGATGGGAGCAGCAGCAAGAAGCATCCCGTGGGAGGAGGGTGCTGGGGTTTCAGCCTGGCTGTGCCTTTGGGGGCTGGACTGGGAATGAACTGGTCCTGTGGGGCCTTCAGGGGAGGAGCATCCACAGGATACTCTGGTTCCTGCTGGTGGGTCTGTAGGTGGTACCTGTAGCTCTGAGGGGGACGTCCTGCCCTCTGCTATTGCAGCAACTGCACTGTCCCCTTCACCATCCAACTCCTCCTGGAGACTGTCCCCAGGCTCGTGTGGCCCCAGACAAAGCCCATTGAGGTTCCAGCTTGGGGCTGGACATGTATTAGAGCCTTGATAATTTGCATCCTGGTGGAGAAAATGTTCCTCTAGTACTGAGTGTAGGACTACAAAATTCATTTTCTAGAAATTATTCCAGATCTTGGGTGTTTCTATGGACTTTCTTGCCAGTGGTTGTTTACTAAAATATTTGGGGCTTAATATGCAGAAATGAACATGCACAAGGAAGATGGTTTTTAAGCTGTAAATTGAGTGTTTGAGGGAAATGTTGAGTTGCCTGGGACAAGTTTTCACATGGAATTTAAAGTTATTACTGCTTAGAAGCTGCTGGATTTCTTGAAAATATTTTTTCATGCTTGAAGTGATTCATAGGTAGCCTCCAGCCATAGCTCAGTCTGTGACCAGATCAAACTGAATTATCTGCTTCCTTCTACATTTGCATCAGGAAAGTACCAATCCAACGCTTTTGGGGGCTGTCTAGAAAAAAATTGAAAGCAATTCAATTTGGTGGGTCAAAAGAGCTGAGAACTGAGGTCAGACCAGCTCTGGTTGGGGTGAAAATGAATAATAAGCAAACAGGAGGGTATTGGTTTGGTGGTACCAGAACCTTCCTTCAGTGCAAGGTCAGAGAGAAAGTTTGTGGCTCGAGATTGTCTTCAAGAGCTGCTGGAATATGTGCTCTCTGCTGCTCCATCTTTTTTGAGGTATTAAATGCTTTCTAAGGTTTTTGTTCCTGCAGGTTTGATGTAGTTCACATGAAGAAGCAGGGGGTTTGAGCAGGATGGGGGGGGGAACACCCCCATTTGTGTCCAACCCACAATATGGAGAGTTCTGTGCTGGGAGATCAGCTCCCCTCTTTCAAACCACCTTCATCCCCCCCAGCCCCTCTCCCATCACAAGCAGACTCTCTTTATGCCTTGAATCCCACCCAGACCCAGCTCCAACCCCAGCACTTGTGGGTGAAATCAGCAGGTTGAGCTACAGCAGAACATCTGCAGATTGGGGGTGTCGGATCAGAGCAGCCTCCCCCTGTGTGAAGGTGGGAATCTGGGTGTCGTCGTGCCCTGGCCACGGTAAGAAATGGCATTAGGACTCCCATGTGAATTCCTCTGCTGCTGCTTCTAGAAAGGTGCCCACCGGTTGATAGACACATGGCACCCAGACCCAGCTCCAACCCCAGCACTTGCGGGTGGAATTGGCAGCTTCAGCTACAGCAGAACATCTGCAAATTGGGGTGATGGATCAGGGCGGCCTCCCCCTGTGTGAAGGTGGGAATCTGGGTGTCGTCGTGCCCTGGCCACGGTAAGAAATGGCATTAGGACTCCCATGTGAATTCCTCTGCTGCTGCTTCTAGAAAGGTGCCCACCGGTTGATAGACACATGGACAAACCCACCCACACCCTTTAGCTGACCCTGACATCACTTCAAAATACATCCCGGGGGGACTTGAGATAGATCCTGCCCAAAAGATGGACGATTTAAAACCTCACCCCTCCAGCTGCTGGTGCTGCACTAGGGCTGTGTGTCCCCCCGGAGGTGGCTGCTGGAGGACAGAGATCTCTGGAGGTTGCTGGAGCACCTGGACACCAGCAGAAGGGGCCATAAATCAAGCCAGGGCTACAACCTGCCTGGGTCTTCTGAATCCTCGTGGGCAGCTAAATGACAAATGACAGATAAAGCTGCCAGCAAAACGGAAGGAAGGAAGCCCAGGTGGGGGGGTAAAAAAACAAACCCAGAATGTCACAGGGAAGTTGATGGTGGAATCCTCTCTCACAGACACTGATACACAACCCAGGAACAGCTTTTACTGCCCTGACTGCTCAGGCTGAGCTTCAGAAACGGAGGACAAATCTTCTCATCTGAGGAAGCCCAGGTGGGGGGGTAAAAAAACAAACCCAGAATGTCACAGGGAAGTTGATGGTGGAATCCTCTCTCACAGACACTGATACACAACCCAG